AAAAAAAAAAAAAAAAATCTAACAATGGCACACGAGATTAAAAACTAATCAAATGAAGATGTGAACCAGTGACAGTATGCACCCACCTGCACATGAAGGCTACATTCCCAATTATCGGAGAAAATCAAATCGTACATCGAACTCATTTAAGCACAACACCGGGACTTCATTCACGTCGACAGCAAATCAAATGCCGTAACTCAATGGCGAGCCATCTTGAGTGAGATCTGAAAGGGTGCCCACAGAGAATAACTCCACAATGGTTCGAGAAACCTCAGCTGGAAAAGGCTTGTTCTTGTCGGGGGAGTCCAAACGCGGCGGCCCTGAGACTACAGTGACTGAGCATTTCACAGGCTGCACCCAGACTTTTGCTTTTTTTCAAGCAAAAGGACCGAGGGGAGGAGCGATGGGGAGAGGTTGGAGGTGAGAGATGGCGCGTGTGGAAGCTTTTTTTTGAGAATGGTTGAGGAATTTAAGATGGAAATTGTTTTTTCTAGTTCTGTTTTTCTTCGTTAGCAGTGAGCGAAGGGGAAGACTGATTATAGTGATAACATAAAGTCGTCTAAGAAACGATTTACTTTGGGCATTTCAAAACAGAAATCGCACTGGGTTTGTGTTTCCTCTAAAGTGGAGCCTTTGTTGTGTCGTGGGTGTGTTGTCTCGAGTTGCTAACTTAGGAGTTCTTTTGATTTGTCCTTTTTTTTATCGTTAAATGTAAATATATAAATTAAAATTAAGTTCGGACAATCGGTGAACGGCGTACAAAAGCGCAATGGGCAACCACAAGTCGGTTCCTCGTTCACGCGATAATATATACGAGGACAACTACATGTAGGTTGCTCACTCAAAAGTCACAAAAATCAAATATCATAGGCCGAGGCACCGCCTCTCTAACTCGGCAAGCACATTAGGATAAAGAGCAAATATAGTACGGTATACATGAATTTTTACCTTCCGGATCACGTGGCTCGGGGATTGGTATTCATTTTCAAATATCAACCGGTTTCTTGCATTCCAAATGAAGTGTCGGTGGCTGCTAGCGCCGCTTTCTTCAACTTGGATCTCTAACCCGCCCATCTCGCCTCATTCTTGGTCCATTTGAGGGCACCTTTAAGGGTCGATGGCCTATGACGGAGGCTAACCCAAGCACGAACTTCACCCCAACTCCGAGGTAAAGGAGCACTCAAAGAAGAGGTGTCTCGAAGATTCATTGGCAACACCGCATAGAGGGCAAATCGGGTCTTCGTCAAGAAATTCGAGTCGGTCTTTTGTCCGGAGTCTATTAAGCAATCCCAACCATAGAATGAATGAGTGCTTGGGGGTATTGCAAGCCCCCCAAACAACCCCGGTCCATGGCCTCGTGGGTCCTCTAGGTCTTAGGAAGTCGTAGCACTTACTAGACCCGTCTTGTTTATCTCGAGAGCTCCAACCGCGAAGAAGGGCTTCCGCTTCTCGTTCACTTCCCGCTTTTCCAACCAAGCCTTGTCGGATTTCAAAAAGAAACTTGAAGAGAGGTGGGTCTTTCGTGTCAATTTTCCAATCCGAAATGGATCTACCCTTCAAATAAATGTTATGAATCCATTTGTACCAAAGGCTGTCTTTCTTGGCTTGCATGTTCCAAAGCGTCCGAGTGAGTAACGCTTGGTTCCAAGCTTCTAAGTCCTGGAGTCCCAATCCACCTTCCGATCGTGGTAAGCACAAACTATCCCATGCCACGGGAGCATTTTTCGAGCCCCATAAGAACCTCCTACAAATTTGGATGAGTTTGGTTCGCACAACACCGGGCAAATGGAAGATATCCATCCAAAAGCACTCAATACCTTGGATTACCGAGCGGATAAGTTCCAATCTTCCAGCATAAGAGAGCGTGTGACCACCCCACCGACTAAGTTGACTCTCAATTTGGTTGATCATATCATTAAAGAGCCGACCGGTGATTCGCTCCACAGTGAGGGGAACACCTAGGTAACGGAAAGGCATTGAACCACTTTGTAAGTTAGTGTTGTCTAGAATGGTGACCCGATTGTTCTTTTTTACTCCGGCCAAGTAGATGTTAGACTTTAGCACATTCATTTCGAGCCCCGACTTGGCCCTAAAATCCTTTAAACAATTCATGAGTGTTTGAATCGACACCGAGTCACCTCGAGAAAGGAGCATGAGGTCATCGGCGAAAGCTAGGTGCGAGATTTTTTGTTTCTCGCACATTGGATGGAAATTAAAGTTTGAGCCTTCCGCCGTGTTGCATTTGATGAGTCGAGAAAGATACTCCATGCATAGCACAAAAAGGAAAGGCGAGAGGGGATCACCTTGCCTTAGACCGCGAGCTCCTTTGAAATGGCCCTTGAGGCTTCCGTTAATAGATAGCGAGTAAGACAGAGTAGTGACACACTCCATGACCCATGTTGTGTACAAATTATTCTTTTTACCGAGTACCGAATCTAAAGATTCGTTCCCCGGGTCGATCTCACGAGGAAGGCTGTTCGGAATTTAGTTCTGATAATGATAACACATAAAAAGAAAACAAACCTAAACACCTTAATCGAATAAGGACGGATGAATAATTACCAGCTAAGAAATAATAAAAAGCAATAACCTACCTAAGAAGCTAAACGAAACAATGAAAAAGAAGCTAGGGAGTCGGGGATAATTAATTCAAGTTCTAGCAAAACCTGGCAATCAATTGTTCGGTTCAAGATTGACACTCTCGCTTAGACATCTAGCGGTTCGCTCCCAATAACTCTTCGTAACAAGGGATTGAACATGGACGAACAAGTTCGAGCATACGACACAGGCCAATTATCCCAATCCCAAATACTTTTCGTAACAAAGGACGGGTCATTAACAAGTGCGTATTTCAATCTAAAACACGTAAATTAGTCAATTACGACATCGTCTACCTCATGTGAGCCTAAGTCTACGACTTTTCCCCTTTCAGTTCAAAAAGTTGCTAATTTAACTAGAAGAGTGTTAATCGACTAATCACATAGAATCAACGAAACCCTAACTCGACTAATCAACATTCAATTGTTACCAACTGCAAGATCGAAGTGTCACTCTTCGATTATATCAATTAATCAAGCAAGAATTTATCAATACCTAATAGAAACAACTCACATAAGAAAGAACAATTTCAAGCCCGAGAGATGCGAATTAAACAAGAACAATCATTCCCCAATCCCTAGAGAAATGAATTAGCTATGCATATTGAATTCAACACAAATAATCATTCTACTCAAATTAATCATTATTCATGAATTAAAATAAGAGAATGAAATTCTTACCATTAATCTCAATTCAAATGTCGAATCCAAGATACAAGCTTCATCCAAGAACAATAATAAAAAGAAGAAGAAAATTGAAGAGGAAAGATTAAAAGAAGGAGAAGAAAGGAAGAAGAAGAGAGGAAAGAGAAAGGAGATGTCGTGGTGTTTCTCGGGACCTAGGGTTTTCGTCCCCAGGAGGGGGATTAAAATCTCGATCGAAATCCCGAACATATATATATAGACCCATGTTGTCGC